GACGCTCCTTACCTTTCCATACTTCCTGACAGAATCCGATTGGTACCGGACATTTCGTTCCTGCCTAAGGTAATTTCTGAATTCCATCTGCAAGCTGAAGTCTTCTTGCCGACTTTCTTTCCAAATCCAGTATCTGCTGAGGATAGATTACTGCATACACTGGTCCTTACCTTTCCGTACTTCCTGACGGAATCCGATTGGTGCCGGACATTTCGTTCCTGCCTAAGGTAATTTCTGAATTCCATCTGCAAGCTGAAGTCTTCTTGCCGACTTTCTTTCCAAATCCAGTATCTGCTGAGGATAGATTACTGCATACACTGGATGTCAAGAGGGCTCTCTTGTTCTACCTGAAAAGGACACATCCAACTAGGAAAGATCCCCATCTATTCCTTTCATATGCATCACCTCGCCTGGGGACTCGTATAACAGCCCAGCGTCTATCCAAGTGGATAGTGGAGTTGGTTCGTCTTTGCTACCTCCTGGCAAAACAGCCGTTGCCTGGTCCCATCAGAGCTCACTCCACTAGGGCTCTTGCGACATCTACGGCTTTTCTCAAAGGTGTGCCAATACATGACATCTGCAAAGCTGCCACTTGGGCTACGCCTAATACCTTCATCAGGCATTACGCCCTCGACGTACGACGCACCAATGACAGCATCGGCCGTCACGTTTTGTCTTCAGCCCAGCGATGAACATCCTGCCAGCACCCTCCTCCAGGTAGGATATGGCTCGCTAGTCTCCCATTGGTGTGAAGCACAGAGACCACGAAGAAGATAAACAGGTTGCTTACCAGTAACTGGTGATCTTCGAGTGGTCATCTGTGCATTCACACCGCCTGCCCTCCTTCCCCTCTGCTGTCAGCTCCTAATTTTTTGATCGGTGTTGATTGGCGGCGGTGCTTTGAAGGAACTGGCAGGATCTCCGCGCCCGTCCCTCTGGGCATGCGTGCTGGGGTTCCTGCGCATGCTCAGTGGGACTCGCGCGAAAATCCTTTGAAACATAGCTTGCTACGGCACCGGTCGGGTCAGCGCAGGCGCACTAAACCCATTGGTGTGAATGCACAGATGACCACTCGAAGATCACCAGTTACTGGTAAGCAACCTGTTTTTAAATCTTCTGAAGCTCATTGTGGCAGCTCAGGAGAACTGAGGCATAAGGGGAGCACCTCGCCTGGAGCATGTGACTGTTGGGGTGGGAAAACAGACTCTGTTGAACTCTGGAGCGGAGGGGCTCCCCCTGCTCTGTTGCTGGGGCTAAGAGAAGATTAGAAATCTTCCGGTGGCTGGCCTGCGCATGTACACAGTCCCATCTGTGCGTGAACACAGACAACTCAATGAACAGTAGTAAGTGCTACACTGTTTTATTGATCATTAAACTGATGAATGAAATCCTATCTCTAATCAGTCAAAGATCACAGTTCTTTACATAGTTGTGTGTTTTAAGTGCGGTGGTATTTTCTATTATTTCAGGACACTTCAAGTGTACGTGCCAATCAGACAGTTTTTCTACAACCTCATTCACCCAGATTATAGTGCTGTGACAGACGTTTATGTCCTGATGTTCCTGGCAGACACTGTGGATTTCATCATCATTGTGTTTGGATTCTGGGCCTTTGGGGTATGTTACAAGAGGGCTGACATGTTTAAATGAATCTGCTGCAGATGATAATCCACTATGGTAAATAAGAGAATTTGTCCTTTGTGTCTTACTGTGCCTTTTTTCTTCCCAGAAACACTCTGCAGCAGCAGATATCACGTCTTCATTATCAGAGGACCAAGTGCCGGAAGCATTCTTGGTGATGGTGCTAATTCAGTTTGGAACCATGGTAGTAGATAGGGCTCTTTATCTCAGGAAGACTGTCATGGGAAAAGTCATCTTCCAGGTCATCCTTGTTTTTGGTATACACTTTTGGATGTTCTTTATATTGCCTGGAGTGACAGATAGGTAAATGCTTTTTAAAAATATTACTTAAATGATTTAATTTAGCTGTGTTACATCCACTTTCTTAAAGAGGCGTACAGACTCTAAGCAAATAGGAAAGATACAAGCAGGGGACCAGCAAGGATTTGCCATGGGGGCATCTCATTTTTTCCCTCCCCCACTGTTTTCTCTTTTCCTCTTTTGAAGAAACTCAGGTTCAAATCCCAACTCTGCCATGGAAGCTTGCCTTGTGACCTTGGAGTAGCCATACACTTGTCAGCCTAACCTACCTCACAAGGATGTTGGCAGGGCTTTTTTTTTTTTTAGAAAAAGCCCAGCAGGAACTCATTAGTATAATAGGCCACACCCAGCAGCAGACACTCATTAGCATATTAGGCCACAGCCCTGACAGCACAGCTCATTAGCATATTAGGCCACACACCCATGTTACCAGAAGTGTGGTCATCCAGCCACGCCCACCTTTTGCTTCTTATTCTGTTGACCTTGTTTGTGATCAAAACTCAGGGCTTTTTTTGTAGCAGGAACTCCTTTGCATGTTAGGCCACACACCCCTAATGTAGCCAATTCTAATGCGTTTCTGTTGTTGGGTGTGGCCTATTATGCTAATGAGTTCCTGCTGGGTGTGGCCAACTTGGGAGCCAGCCGGAACTCCGTTCCTTGTGAGTTCCTGCCCAAAAATAGCCCTGGATGTTGGTAAGATAAAATGGAGACAAGGAGAACACTTTGGGTCCCTATTGTGGAGAAAGGCAGGGTATAAATCAAGAAAATGAAATAAATAAAATGCATAAAAGCTCCTTTAGCCTTTTCCCTTTTCCTGCTTCCTTCTCTCCTTCCCACACACCTACATTATCTGCCCCCCATCTTTAGCTTTCTCTCCTTCCCTTCCTCCTAGCAGCCTTTACTTAGGAAAACTATGTGCCAGTTGCACAACACCAGCTACTGGGCTGGATTCAGTTGTGTAGACTTCAGGGGACACCTCATTTTCCTCTGTACCCTTCCTACACTACGTCTTTCCTTCCTCCTGGTAATCCCAGTTTCCTTACCTTAGCCAGTTGGGTGTAGTGAGCCAGTTTGGTGTAGTGGTTAAGTACACGGACTCTAACCTGGGAGAGCCAGGTTTGATTTCCCACTCCTCCACTTCCTCCTGGCTGGATGACCTTGGGCAAGCCATAGTTCTGGCACAGCTGTTCTTGAAAAAGAGCAGTTTCTGTCAGAGCCCTCAGCCCCACCTACCTCACAGGGTGTCTTTTGTGAGGAGGGGAAGGGAAAGGAGTTTGTAAGCCACTCTGAGACTCCCTTGCGTAGTGAAGGGTGGGGTATAAATCCAATCTCTTCTCTTCTTTTACCTGCTTTCTTCTTTCCTTCCCACTCACCAACCAACCCACCTTTTTCTGCTCCCCCCATCTTCAGCTATGTTTTTGCAGTCCCAGAGGTCATTTCGGGGGGGATCGCAGGGGAACACAGTTCCCCCGGGTGAGGTGCGGGGGGCGGGGCACACGACGAAGCCCCACCCCCTGCTTCCAGCCGCCCTGCTTCTGGCCCTCATTCAGCCAGAAGGAGGCAAAAGAAGAGAGAGGGTAAGTTGCTTCCTCCCCGCCTCTCCCCACCCCTGCCTGCCTGGGGCCAGGGAGGGCCTTGGTGGGGCTTCCTCGCACTCCCACTGGTCTTGCAGGTCCACCGCCGGGCCCCTGATGTCAGGGGGTGTGGCATATGCTTATGAGTTATGCTAATGAGTTTCCCTAGCTCTTTTTCTACGAAACGACCCCTGTGCAGTCCTATTGTGCTTACCTAGCAATGGCCACTGAGGACATCCATTTCTTAAACCCACAGGTCCTGCTTTTATAAATGGGGGGTTAACCCCCCGTGTATTTTTTTAAGATTTCAGATTTTGTTTTATTTTGTAAACCAGGTTTTTTCCCCTCAGGTTTATAGGCATATTTTCTTGTCTGTCAGTGGCCCCAATCTCTGCATTCAGCTGGGGGCAGAATTAGATGTATTGGTGATAGTTCTCTTGATCCCCAAAAAAGTGTTAACTGTAGTTATTCTGAACCAAATAAATAAAAAGTACTGGTGGATGAGGAATAGGTTTCAGAGATGCATCAGGTAGGCAGGTTATGAAGGTATGTTAGAAGCATCTGCTTGGGACCACAGTTCCCTCGAAGCTGTTCTAGGGGGTGCTGGCACACAGAATTTTTACAGGCAACTCAGGGGTTGTGAGCCTTCTGCTCACATGACTTTTTTTCTCCGTTGGAAACAATGGAGGAAGGGGGCACCTCCTTCTGGGGCCCATAGAAGTAGATCCCCTGGTCCAATCTTTTTGAAACTTGGGGAGGGGGGGTTGAGGAGAGGCACCAGCAGCTAAGCTGAAAATTTGGTGCCCCTACCTCAAAAAACAGCCCCCCAGATACCCCCAGAACAATTCTCCATTATAGCCTATGGGGCCTATTGACTATAATGGTCCCCATGGACTACATTGGAACCAGGAAAATGATAATTTTTTTGCACCCCCCTATTATGCTTTTCAGTATGATTTGGAAACTGCCTTGAGTCACAGGGAAAAGTGGGATATAAATATTTGAATAAATAAGTAGTTTGGGCACATTGACAACATTTAAGCAACTTCCTGTTTGTTAGGTTAGGCAGGGTTCTGACAGCGATTGTTCCACCTCTGTTGTACTTGACTTGTAATGCTGGTTGTCATATTTCACAAAAAAAACCCACAACAAAGCAGACTGCAAGAGCCCCCCCCCCCCCATGCTGGTATGTTTTTTAAGGATCAGCACAGGGTGACGGTCCAAGGCCAGGTCTACCAATATCATGGATTGGGGTGGGTAGATCTGTTCTCTGCAGGCCAGGTCTACTAATACAGTGGAAAGGGGTGGGTAGACTCCTTCTCTGCAGGCCAGGTCTACCAATACAGTGGAAAGGGGTGGGTAGACTCCTTCTCTGGAGGCCAGGTCTACCAATATAGTGGAAAGGCATGGGTAAAATTTGACTTGATTCTATTTTCTCTTATAATGTTTAAATTATTCTTAAAATATAGTTTAAATACAATTTAAAATAATTTAGTATGAAATTTTTACAAGGTTATGGAAGTGATCTAAAAAACTAATTTACATGATAGTCAAATGTAGATTGTCTCACAACTTTAATGCTCATGAGGTAGAATTTTCGCTCATGAGGTAGAATTTCTGCTCACAGCACAGGAACTTAGAGGGAACATTGGGACAGAACCTGCTTTACCATATTTGTAATGAGTTGACTGACTTCAGTGTTGGGTTTTTTTCTTAGAACCTTTTGTGTCCATCATTGCATTTTTATATTTTAAGCATGCAATGGGCTGGCTCCAGGTTTCAGAAAATTGAGCAAGTTAGAAGAAGCAGTTTTCTCCATCTCCCCTTCCCCTCAGAAGTCCTCTGTGTCACTGAAAAACTGCTGTTGGGGCTCAAGGACCTTCTAAACAATATACCATGGAGTACAGTGCCAGGTGGGCGAGGGGGAGCAATGCAACAGAGAGAGCAAACTGGCTGAAATAACTTCCTTTCACTTTTGCATGGTCTTCTGCTCTGTTTACCAAGCTTGTGTTTTTCATTCAAGCCATTTAGGCAACTCAGGTCCCGGTCACATGGGAGGTTTAGGGCTAGAAGAGGGACAGATCGGGGGCGCAGCAAATGGGCGCAATCAAACCGCAACATCTGGGAAGCGGCGTGCACCCATCCCCGATCCGGCCCTTTAGGCCAAAATTGCGCGGCAAAAAAGAACCTGCTAAAGAGCAGGACTTACCTAAAACGCTGCAGCAAGCACAGCCGTCGGATCGCCGGCGCAGCTGTCTGCAGGAGCAATCGAGGCTCCCAGCCGAACTGCGCTTGTGCACATATGCACAGCCGGCAGCCTTGTGCTCCCTTCTGTGGCTTTCTCCCCGGCATCTGATCGTGCCGGGGAGCAACTGCACGGCAGCTCACGGGATCTGTGTGATCCCGCCGCTGCGTGTCTTTTGGTGCGGCTTTCAAAAGCCGCACTTTGCCTGCATCAATTTCCCCCCGTGTGGCAGGGGCCTCAGTTAACTTTCCTTTCTGCATTCCCCCTCCATGCTTCTTGGCATATTGTTCTGTGGTCTCCATTCCTCAAGATTAGCTTCTCAGGCACACTTGGCACTGCTGACAGAAGAGAGTGTTGTTAAAATTGCTTCCATGAACTTTCTTCATTTATGAAAGCTTGGGTCCAACCCAATGTGTTAAGTGAACATGAACCTGAGAACTTAAAGAAGTTATTTGCTGGATCTGATTGAACTCCTCCTGGTTCTGTTTTTTTTTGCAAGAATTGTAGTAGTTCAAAGTGATCCACCGGAAATTGAAGTTTGGCACATGGTATCCCTGATTTTGGGGCTGTGGTGGCTCAAGTGGTTAAGATGCTGAACTGCAGACTGGAAAGTCAGTAGTTCAGCAGTTCGAGACCCAAGTGCCGCATGACGGACTGAGCTGCCATCTCTGGTCCCAACTCCTGCCAACCTAGCAGTTCAAAAGCAAGAAATTGCAAGTATATAAATAGGTACCACTTCGGTGGGAAGGTAACAGCATTCCGTGCACCTCGGCATCTATTCATGCCAGCCACATAACCACGGAAACATCTTCAGACAGCGCTGGCTCTTTGGCTTGGAAACAGAGATGAGCACCGCATCCCTAGAGTCGGATTCAACTGGCTTTGGAGCAAGGGAAACCTATCCCTGATACATAGTTTAAGAAAGCATTATCTACCAAGAGCACTTGTGAAACATAGTTCCACTTTTTTATTTTTTTATTTTTTTATTGTTATTATTTTATTAGACTTCTAACCTGCCCTCCCCTGCACTGCAGGTCTCAAAGCGGCTAACAAGTTAAAAAACATATCATAATTAGCTATTAACATAATGTAAAAACAATTTAATAACAGTCAGATATAATTGCATGGTGGCGTAGGCACTTATTCAGTTTATTCAAGCAAGGTTGTACTAACTGTGTGTATAAGGCTGGTACACATTGCAATGAATGGTGGGGAAGGGGGGGAGCTGGGGGAGGCCAATATAGATGGAACTTCGTTGCCTCAACTGTAGGCCTGGTGGGATAATCCTGTTTTACAGGCCCTGCAGAAATGGATCAGGTTCTGCAGGGCCTGGATCTCATCCGGCACAGTATTAGATAACTGATGATATAAATTTTATATAATGGTAACAAAACCTAAGCAAATAAAGATCCATGGGGATGGGCCATGGCTTAATGGCAAAGCATTTGCTTTGCTTGCAGATCTCAAGGTTAACTGCTGGCAACTCCACTTAAAAGGATCATGTAGTAGAGAATGTGAAAGGCTTCTGCCTGACTCCTGAGAGAGCCACTGCGAGTCAAAGTACAGAGTAACTGACCTTGAGGGACCACCGGCCTGACTCAGTATAAGGCAGATATACTGGAGTCTGTTTAGGTTGTGTGTTATCAGCTATCCTCTTTGCACTAACAATGATTTATACAGCACAGGCTAATAGAGATGAGTTATCTTTTGACATTGTAGTTAATACTGCTTACGCACAATAAGAAGCTGTTACACTATGTTGCTGAAAGAAAGAAAACTGAACTTGCAAAAATATGAAACAGGAATTCTGCTATCTGGGAGCATGATGTAATGGAAAGGTGACCATGATCGAGTTTCACTGAAAGCACAATATATGGTCAGGCCTTTGTGACTTCCCACGTTCCCTTTCCTGAGCAACGTTTACACTGGCTGTGAAACTGTCAGGTTCCCAGTCAACTCACTCTCTACACAGTCTTTCTTTTTAGGAAAGTTTATTGAAGAGATTTGAGATGCTGCAAAGGACAGATAGGCCTAAACCTAATTTTTAATCAAAATTCTGATTCTATTATTTCTGTATTTTAAAGTTTTTAGATCCTATTTATAATTTTAGATGCCGATATATTTTATAATTTTACTGCTCCTGTAACTGTATTTACTTGTCTTCTATTATACTGGTCTATGACCGTAATAAACTTAAACCACTCATGGAAAGTTTATTGAAGAGATTTGAGATGCTGCAAAGGTGACTTCTTTGTCAGGACTGGGGAGCAAAGGCGGGGACTTGGTGTATAACTAAAACCCACATTCCACACATACGCCACACAATCATAAGTATAAGCAATCCTAAGAACCCAGACGAATACAATGGTTCAACTAGCCATTTAAAAGTCTTATCATCTTCAAGGATACTCTCATGTGAAAGTTCCCAAGGTGCTGCTTGAGAAAACAGTTACCAGCGTTGCCTTCCTAAACTACAGACTTTCACACAGTCTCTCTCCCTCCCACAATCTTTCTCCCTCCCACCAGGAATGTCAGCAGGGGTGAACAATAAGCGGATGGCTGGATACGTCTGCAATAGCCAGGGAAGTGAGGGGGAAGGGAATGGGGGTGTGGGTTACATAAAGCAAGTTGGTAATACTACAGGTATAGAGAACATAGCTGAAGGTGAACCCGAGTCTGACAGAAACTCACACTTCAAAAGAAGCTATGAAGCAGCAGAAAGTACCTGGCAATGGTGATAGAGAAAAGATAAGGATGAGTAGTGACAGCAGCTGGCAGCATGTAGGAGATCCTTCACCCAATAAAATTATCCACAGGACTGTCCTTGAGGGAAGGTGTTAAAGAAGAAGGGAAGACACAATTCTAGAGTCAAGATATATCTATACTTGGTACAGGGCCTCTTCATAGATTAATGTTTACATGCTTGGAGCTGCTCCAGTATGCAGTGTAGTCTGCAGAATTCTACTGAGCAGAGAATCACTACTAGTTTGATTTATTAGTCTGTCATGCCTGTTATATTTTTAGACTTGCCAGTCCCAGATCCCAACAGAGATTCCCCCAGGTTTTGGGCTTCTGCCAACCTCCAGCCAACTGGCTGGCAGGCAAAACCCCACCCCTGACACAATGACATCACCCAGAAATTACATCATCACATCAGGGACATCACATGACAACACACTAGTTTGAGGGCAAAACTCTATGGTTTGAAGCCAGTTTCACCATAGATTTTTGTTCAAAAACCAGAGTGTCACCATGCAACATCCCCAACATGATGACATTACTTCTGGGTGATGTCGTCATGTCAGGGACGTCCTGAAACGCCCCCCAAATCTCCCCACCGGCGCAACAAGAGGACCTGGCAACCCTATATGTTTTGTTTATTTGTTATTGATTTAAACTAGAGAAAGTCCTGTGATTAAACTAGTTTTGTCCCTTGCTCTGCTAGCCTTGTGCTGCTGTTTGAAAGGTAACTTACTTTCCAAGTGAGGCTTGTGCAGAATTTAAGTTTATGATGCCTGTATTTGCTTGAAAATTGGAAGGCCTGTGAAATTGCTCCAACTAGATTACATTAATCACTGAGTACAAACAGTACAGACGGCAAAGGATGAGATGGTTAGACAGTGTCATAGATGCAACGAACATGAAGTTGAGCAAACTTCAGAGGATGGCGGAAGACCGGAAGGCCTGGCGTGATCTGGTCCATGGGGTTGCGAAGAGTCGAACTCGACTGTGCGACTGAACAACAACAACAAACTATTCTTTTCTGTATCATTCAGAAAGAAATTTGAGGTTCTAAGGCCTCAGTATGCAAAATGGGGACCTAAATAGAGCAAACTCTTCCAAAACCAGTAAATTATGTAGTGTTGGATCCAATGTTCCCTCTAAGCTGAGTTAGTGTGAGCTAGCTCACAGTTTTTTAGCCTCCGGCTCACACATTTCTTCCCTAGCTCAGGAGGGATGGCTCCAGAGCAGACTGATATATGCAGGAGCCAAATCACTCGCTCACAACTTTAATGCCAGGAGCTCACAAAGTAGAATTTTTGCTCACAGGACTCCACAGCTTAGAGGGAACATTGGTTGGATCCTATCAGCTTTTCTGCTCAGTCCTGCCAGATTTCCCTCCTCACTGCAACCTCCATCCTGCATAACATTGGTCGTTGTGAATTCCATCTCCCCCAGCATAACCTTTTGGGGGGCTTAAAGGGGCCCTTTCTTCTTGATACTGGAAAAGCTGGCAAGATCTATCCAATAGAATTTGTCATTCATCTTTTACAAAGTTACTTTAGAACCTTTAGAAAATTCATTTTAATGCACATTTGACTTGTCTATTGATAATTATATTGTTGTTTATATTATAGATTTTTTAAAACTTTGTAAGCTGCCTGGAGCAGTTCTTTGGAAAGGTGTCATAAATAATTCCACAGCATTTTGATATTAATTGCCAAAATAGATTAGGAGTCTTTCTGATTTTTTATGGTTAACAGTAGGGTCTTCTTCCACAGCGATTTGAACTATGCAATGAATTCTAAGCTTTCATCTTCCCTTTTTTCTAAAAGCAGCTCTCCGAAAAGAGATTACCTAAACTTGGGGGGGGGGGCTTTAAAAGTCTCCTTCCTTCAGTACAGTAATGAGAGAGATTGACAAATGTTATTTGGATTACAGGATTATTCCAGAGTATGCATGTATAAAACTCATTTTCTTTCTCTTTAAATTCCATTGCAGGAAATTTAGCCAAAATATAGTTGCACAACTCTGGTATTTTGTGAAATGCATTTATTTTGGATTATCAGCATATCAGATACGCTGTGGCTACCCAACCCGTGTACTTGGAAATTTCCTCACAAAAAGTTATAATTATGTAAACCTCTTCTTATTTCAAGGGTAAGGGTCAGTCTATCTATTCACACATACATACTCTCTGTATTTCCTTCTTTGTTAATTTTTCCAGTTTTTCTTCAGCCATCTTTATTTTGCATTTGACACCTTAAGATTTTCTTTTCATTGGGAATTCTGGTTATTTAATGTGGTTAACTAATGAACATTAGTGAAACGTTCTTTAAATAGTTCATAATAAAATAAACATAGGCTTCATGAATGGTGGGAAATATAACTGTAATCAAGAATCAAGTAATGTTTATTATGTTTGGATGTTTTCAAGCGGAGGCTGGATTACCATATTTCAGGTATGTTGTAGGGCTATCTTTCGGCTATGCTCCTGCAGAGTGCAGGAGGTTGGACGAGATGACCTGCAAGGTCCCTTCCAACTCTAACATTCTATGATTCTTGTAACATTCATTAAAGCTGCCCACATTTATTTATTTAGTTAATGCATTATGTCAATACATCCAGTGCAGTTACAAATTTAAAATTAGAAAAGGCAAAACAATAAACCATAGAAATTGTCTCAGGCCATTGATTATCATCTCAGGAGCTGATGGTATGAATTGGCCTGGGTATCTCTCTTGCCTTCCCTTTAGGACACAGGTCTTGAAGTCGCTTTAGGAAAGATGGGGGGGTGTCCAAACTGTTTTTTCTCAGGGCATTTGTGGTTTCTTCATGATCTGATGCCATGAGCTCTATTTGTTAAATTGGTTAAGAATCTACAAATAATCTGAAATTTTACATTAGATGCAATATCAAGCTTTAAAGTAAAGCTGATTACCTGCAGTGATCTCTCTATGTTTAGATTCCGCCTGGTTCCATTTTTGACTGAGCTGAGAGCAGTAATGGACTGGGTTTGGACAGATACTACATTAAGTCTTTCTAGCTGGATCTGTGTTGAAGATATTTATGCCCATATATTTATCCTGAAGTGCTGGCGGGAGTCTGAAAAAGTAAGAAAAAATGTTTGTTGTGAACTTTTCTCCCCCTATGCAACCCTTATAATAAGGATAGATCATACTGTATATTAAAGAATTATATAAGGGGAAGTATCTTTGTACAAAAATATGACTGTACACAAGTATATAAATAGTGAAAACAAACAGAACATTAAATCAAATTAAATCAAAAATGAAACAAGCAGTAGTGCAGGTGAAGACGAATACCCCGACCCTCCTCTCACACACAAATTGATCTATTCTGATAACTTTGGTAAAAGAAAAAGGTCTTAATCTGGCACAAAAATGATAATCTGTGCTCCTCATATAAGGAAATTTTGCCCATAGAGTTTGAGGAAAATAACATATATTGGGAAAAAATACAGTACAATGATAATTAGTAAAAATGAAGGGTACAGAACACAGAATGGTTAATTTACTGACATATTCAAATCATACATCCCAAAACAGAGGAACAAAGAGGACCCAGAGTGGGCTGCCAGAGTGGGGAGAGAACTCCAGCTTGGGCTGGGGGGGGGGGGCAGCTGCTCAGCTGCACCATCGTCATCTGTGTCTGAGGCACAAGAACATCTGCCTCCAGGAGCCTGCTGCTTCTAGAGGAAGGAGAGAGAGCTTCAACCCAGGCTGAGGGAAACTAGCTACTCAGATCTGCCCTCCTTTGTGCCTGGGGCCCTGAGGGAGCTTTTATCTAAGGGAGAGGACTGTCACTTGATTTGTGCCATGTTAGTGGTGCTTTTATTGTATAGTATGGTTCATTTAGTTTTATTTGCTTATTGTAAACTGCCTTGGGTCCTGTTTTGTAGGACAAAGGCAGAATAAACATAAAGTAAACAAATAACCCAGAGAGAAATATTCTTTTTAATGTTTTACTTTTGCCTGTTTCAGAGATATCCCCAGCCAAGGGGGCAGAAGAAAAAGAAGGTTGTGAAGTATGGAATGGGTGGCATGATTGTCGTCCTGCTGATTTGTATTGTCTGGTTCCCGCTCCTCTTCATGTCTCTAATCAAGTCTGTTGCAGGTGTCACAAATAAACCTCTTGATGTTTCCATTACAATAACCTTAGGAGGTTATCAGGTACAAACAAAACCACATCCAAAATTACGAATTTCCCCTATATATATTTATGCTAAATCAGTGGGAGCCTGTTTGGTGTAGTGGTTAAGACCAGCAGATTCTAATCCGAAGAAGCAGGTTTGATTCCCCACTCGTCCACGTGCAGCCAGTTGTGTGACCTTGGGTCAGTCACAGTCCTCTCAGAGCTCTTCTCTCAAGAGCAGTTCTCTCAGAGCTCTCTTGGCCCCACCTACCTCACAGGGTGTCTGTTGTAAGGAGAGGAAGGGAAGGAGATTGTAAGCTGCTTTGAGACTTCGAGTGAAGGGTAGGGTATAAATCCAACTCTTCTTGTTCTTCTTTGCTTAGGTTTTGATTTTTGAAATGTTTTTTAAAATGAAAATATAATGAAGAAAAAACAGTAGCTATATATTCTTGTTTTCCAGCCTATATTTACAATGAGTGCTCAGCAAAGTCAGCTCAAAGAGCTGGATGGAGGAGAATATCGCAGATTTCAAAAATCTTTTTCAGAAACTGTAAGTAATTTTCTTTTTTCCAAACTTCCTCCATTTTAGATATATATCAATATTTTTGTCTTCATAATATGTTTGACCAAAAGAATAGTGAGAACAGTCTAGTTGTGTGCAGCCCATGGAAATCAAAAAAGCTCTATAATACTGCAGCATTCATAGGTTTCTTTTATATTACAGTTTAGAACGGAGACAAATCACACCCACTAATGTTAGACTTACAAATTGAACCCGTTTATTAAGCTAAATAGTATATAATTTCTTAGCACTAGCTAAAAATCAAGTAATGTTTATTATGTTACTTCATCTACAAAGATCTGGTGCTCTGAGAGTCCATTAAAGTGGCCTACTTCCCTGGCAGAGAATGAAGTCAAGTTCCACAAGAATATTAAAGAGGAAGCAGAAAATACGTTTCACCTTACTCCTGCTGTGCTGAAGAGCACTGAATCGGGTGTTTTCAGTTGCACCTTAGCTTTTAGTGATAGTCTCTCTCTGAATTTATCCTCTCTGTTATTCTGAATGCAGGGATGCCACTTTCTGGAAAGTCGGGAAAATCAGGGAAATGGATCAAATAGCAGGGAAAGTCAAGGAGAATGTGATTAAGATATGCTTTTGAAATGCCTCTGCAAGTGGACAACTTGCACTTGTGGCAGTTGAAGTAGAGAAGTGACAGAGTACAAATGTAATGTAATGATGCACACATATTCCGTAATTTGGTTATATAATTTTGAAAATGTTTATGGCTGATAGTTTTTAACAATAAAAGAGAATAAGAAGAACATGTAAGAAATAGCATTATTTTATGGAGAAGCTGATTGGCTTCTTGCAGCTTTTTTTATATTCAAACGAACGGGATTCAGTTTCAGTTGATTTGAAGATGGGAATATTTGACAGGTAACAAATTGTGCTTTATTTCTCTAGCCAGTTGTTAAGTCCGAAAATGTCACAATACTACTTTCAACAATAAATTTGAGATTGGTTTAAAAATCAGACATTATAATACAGAACTATGTTAATAAAATAAAACTTATTTTAAAACGTTAATTTTTTAAAAACAGTAATTTAAACTATGGATGGACATGAACCAGCTGATGAACTTAAGTTCATCATGAATTTTGGCCACTTCGTGAAACAGTGTTCATGAACTGAAGACCTTCCACAAATTCCACAAATTTTGATGCAGTTTGTGGCGGTTTTTGAAGAGTGGAAAGCAGGGGGTTAAACCCTTGCATTCTGCTCTTAACACAAAAACAGCTGCAGAAGCAAGGGAGGCATAATGGCGGGACAAGGCAGTAGATAGGAAGGAGATGGAGATGTGGCAGTGCTCGGTCCCCTTCCTACCTCTGTCCCATCCCAAGGGATGCTGGTTGTGGGGCTAGGAAAATATACCCTTCTCAGAGACCAGTGCTATGTAATGCCAGGTCTATTAATAATAAGAGCTCTGTTCTCCGGGACTACCTGGTAGGCCAACATGTAGACCTGACATGTGTGACCAAGACCTGGGTGAGGAAGGGCGAGACTGTTGCCCTGAACCAACATACCCTCCCAGGTTTTTCAGTCCTACACCAGTCCCTAATGGGCGGGGTGGTAGTGTTGCTCATCCAGGAGTCTTTCTCCCCATACCCAAAACTGCTGGCATTGAATGTGTAGGCCTCGTGTGGCTATATGGCTAGTGTACTGACCACCTAACACGCTGGCAGATACCCTGTCAGGCTTGTTGGAGGCTGTCTCTGGCTGGGCTCTGGAGCACCCCAGACATTTAGTTCTGGGGCGCTTTAATGTCCATGCCAATGATGCGGCCTCCTCTCAAGCCAGGAACCTATTGTTATCCATGGTGGTACTGGGACCATGTGTTGGGGTTGTAAAGGGAATGATAAACAGGAGGTGGAGCTTTTGCCTCTGCTGAAACTAGAGCTGGGGAGGGAAGGCAGCATGGTGTAGTCCTGTCTTGTCAGATCTTGGTAGCTAAGCAGCAAGACCACCAAGGAAGACTCTGCAGAGGAAGGCAATGGCAAACCACCTCTGCTTCTCACTTGCCTTGATAACCCCATGCCAGGGGTCCCTCTAAGTCAGCTGTGACTTGACAGCACTTTACACACACTAATCCAAAGCTGAGTTAAAAGAAAAGCTTTCAAATGAATGTTTCTGCTGTTGGATTTCACAGAAAACAAACAGCTTCCAGTCAGTGAGCTGTTTGTAAAGTGGGGTGTCTGCTTCTGTTGAAATTATTATAGAGAACAAGCTCTCTCCTGCCCCCCCCCCCCCAACATAAAGCTTGCAGTTTTTTTTCTTTTCTGTTTCGGTTAGATTCTGCAAGCATTTAAGCTCCGCATCTTTCCTTACTCCACATTCTGGAGCCCAGAAAGTTCCAGCCCCAGAAACCTCCTATTTGCCAGACAGGCAGGCAAGTGCTTCTGTGGAAGGCTGGACTGGGAACTACATTTTAAAGTTGGCTTTTAAGAGGACAGTTTTTAATACGCAATGGCTGGATGTCAAACTTCCTACTGAGTTCATTCCATGGCTATCGTCAGTTGCTGAAGATAAATACAAAGGTTAATGTGAAGAGTGCTACAAAACTTTTGAACTAAGTAATATGGGTGCCGGACTCTCCCTTGGTCTTCGGTGTGGCGCCCCCTGTGGCCGTGCTGTCGGGGTCTTGACCAGAGTCCGGCAGGACAGATGGCCCTGGAAGTGGCAGGCTCCAAAAAGGGAGAGGGAGTGAGGGGCCTCAGAAAGGCAGGGGACGGGGTTAAGGTCACCCCGAGCGTCCCTCTGCCAGCATGCTGCAGACTTCTTTCCTCTCTGTCGTCTTGGCGTTTCTCTCTCTCTGCATCCCACTCCGTTCCACAGCACACTCCTCCTCCCAGGCCCCTTCTCCACCCTGCCTTTTATCTCCCTGCCCCGCTCCCAGGACCGCCCATCCGCCCTCCAGCTTGGGCCACTCCCTCCTTTATCTACCGGGACGCCAGTGGGGCGTCTCCAGGGTGAATGCTGGTATATCAGTGCCGTTCTATGGCAGCACTCGCTGCTCTGCGCCCGCTCTCAGCCCACCGGACAAGTCACCGCTGTCCCTTTCTTCTTCCATGGGGCTGCTCCGTGGACCCCAGTCCCGTCTCCTGGCTCGGCCAACACAGCGCACCACGGGAGGGGTCGCCGCTCCCGCCCCCCTCACTGGATGGTTGTACTCCGTCCCTCCTGGTGAGTCATGCTGTGGGGGTCTTGCGGGGTTTGTCGGGGTCCCCAGGGATCGGCCCGCGATCTCCAGAGCGGGACAATGGGAATTAGAGCTGCACAGTCTCATGCAGAAGGACCATCATACCAGAAGAACCTGAACTACAGTATCCTCATATGGTGACAAAGATGATTGGAAAAGCCAGAATGATACCCAGGGACAGCTTGCTACAAGACAAGCCCAAGGAGAATAACAGAATACCAGTGGTGGTCACCTACAACTCACAACTCAAGCCAGTTCAATGCATTATTAAAGACCTACAACCCATGGTGGATAGTGACACTTCCCTTACACAAGCACTGGGGCGTGACCTTTTTTTGCTTACAGACAGCCTACTAACCTAAAATAACTTCTCTCTCACAATGACAAACTACTTAACAGTAACATGGACTCTGGTACCAAGGCCTGCAACAAACCAAGATGCCAACTTTACTGCCAAAATGGTGCTGAGGCAGCAGTTTCTTTGTCTGAGTCTCTCTATGCGTAATTATGCTGTGGATGTTGTGTCTGTTAAGGAGTGAAATGGCTCTCGCAGCTCCATTTGAGACGAAGGATTCTAGGACAGATGAAAATATACAACTGTTCTCAGATGATAAATGGGACTGTTTAAAATGTCAATTGATGGAAAAAGTTACAAATCCTGTTATGGAAGCTTTGGGAGAGTATTGGGATTGTTTTGAAGAAGAGATTACAAAGACACAAAATCAGATGACATCAGTTTCTACAAAAGAGGAAAAACAACAGGACTGTTTCAACACTCAATATCTACAATAAGAGACTTTCTTAGCCACTGCTTTGATGAGTCGATTGGATATAATATGGACAACGTAGGCTGGGGGGTTTTGTACACAAACAGGCCAGAAGAGAATGAGACATTCAAAAATCAAAGACACAAAAGAACAACGATTTTGATGAGACATTTTCAAAGAAAGCAAGAGAAATTTAAATTTTATAAACAAATGGAAGGAGCACTCTCTGATAGTTAGCATGGCTTTATTAGCAGAAGAGATAAAGATAGACAAAACTAGAACTTTTAATAGAGAATTTGCATGAAGTTAATAGAGAATTTGCATGAAGAAACTGTTGTCTGTCAATGCCAGGTTTATGATGTTGTCCTGAGTTCTGGAGGACTTGAAACTATTGTAATTGGCAGGCTCATACATGATACACAGAGTACTTAGATGTTAAATGCCATAAGCAATAAAAATAAACTCTGAAAAAGTAGCAAAAAGAAGAAACTTGAGGGAGAAGTGAAATACCTTGAAAATGCTTTTTAAAAGACTGAGAAAAGAAGTCAAAATGGAAGAAGAAACAATTGATCAGCAGGGGAAATATAATTAAAGGGTTACTTATTTAGAGAGAAGACCAGATGTTTCAGGACAAGGTGTAAACTATATGGCTTTGTCAGTGTGAGAGCTGGATTGTAGGGAAAATATAACATATTATGTTTAGGCCTGCTAGTTTATGGGATTTTGAAAACTAACAGTGTTAAAAATGTGAAAGAATATTTAAAGGGAATAGATTGTTAATTTAGAAGAAATATATTTTTCTTTAGCATAGTTAAACTGATAGGTTATGACTGTTTCTTTTCTGTTGTTTGTATACTGACATAAAATAGAAAATAATAGTATAGTACTGATAAAATGAAATATAGCAGATAGAATATTGATGAATTGGTTTTACAAAGGGAATAGATACTTGGTTTAATAGTGTATGTTATTGAATACAAAATAAAACAAGGGGGGGAATGGGAAGTTGTATGCAAATAGGAGGTTGTGAGCGAGATATTCAGCTTGCTATTTTAAAATGTATGGCTCTTTTCTATGTAAATTGTTAAAAAATAATAATAAACTTTGCCCAATCTGGGCAAGTAAAAAAACAAACAAAACTAAGTGAACATCAAGTGGCAGAGTTTTACCTAGAATGTTGAAACATGGCAGTAGTAGTTGTTGAAAAGTTGGTTGAGAGAAGTCCTTTGAAATTCAAGATGGTTCGTGGCTTATCAACATTGTGGCTTATCAGTATTATCAGCACTATCATTATACACAAACCAAATATTGGAATCACCAGAATAGGGACTGTACTTGAACCTCTTCATGCAGCAAATCAAATCAATGACACAAAAGCAGCAAAATCAAAGCAACAATACACTATTTTAACCACGGCTGCCCACAATGAATTCAAGGCTCAGTTTCAAGTGTACGTAATAAAACAAGATGATGATAAAGTTGGACTGGACACATTTGACAGTGGTATTTTGATGCCCAACAAAAAATTCATGGACCTGTGGAATGTTGTCAAGATGTACCTTCTCCTGCCTCATGATAACGCTTCAGCTGAAAGTGGATTTTCAGTTAATAAGTCAAAGTTAATAGAGAATTTGCATGAAGAAACTGTTGTCTGTCAATGCCAGGTTTATGATGTTGTCCTGAGTTCTGGAGGACTTGAAACTATTGTAATTGGCAGGCTCATACATGATACACAGAGTACTTAGATGTTAAATGCCATAAGCAATAAAAATAAACTCTGAAAAAGTAGCAAAAAGAAGAAACTTGAGGGAGAAGTGAAATACCTTGAAAATGCTTTTTAAAAGACTGAGAAAAGAAGTCAAAATGGAAGAAGAAACAATTGATCAGAAACTAAGGGAGCTGCAAAACAAAAAGAGAAAACTATAGAAGTGATAGCTGTATATTGTTATTTAATCTTTTTAAAAAGAATACTTGTACTCTAATTTCTAACTGTATTTTAATTTCAATTTCACAACTAAGGCTTCAGTTAAGTCCTTTTTAAAAGAATATTCATTGAAATTTATTTTATATACTTTTGTGTAGTTTTAAAACAAGAACAAAATGTTCTGTCATTTGTTAATTGTATTGAAGATCCATCTTTGTGGGTTTTTAGTGCATTTTCAAATGTATTCAGTTAACAATCCAATGTTTGCATTTCAGTACTTGTGTAGTTTTATACCATTTAATAAAACCTTTGGTGATCAGGGAAATGGAAAATAAAATTTTAGTGGCAATCCTGGAATGGTAATGGCTAAGCTTCCATTTCATTAGTGTCTGGTTTGAAACATCTCCTGATAATTCACAGAGAAGCCCTCAAAGAATGAGCTTTTTAATTTAGGCCATGCTGAACCACAACAGGAAATCTCATGTTGCTCCAAGATCCGCTTTCCACTCTTGCATGCAAGCACTGAGCCATTAAAACCTTTCAGTTCCCAGTCTGCTTAACTGAATTAATTGCATTACAGTTGATTAAGAACAAGAAAAAAGTACATACGAGCACAAGAGTTTCAGGCATACGGAGTTTATTAAGAGATTTGGAACAATAATTTGGGGGGGGTGCTGATCTTAAGCAAATACTGGAAAATACTAAATCAAAGCAAAGACAAATAGCACATTCCTTATCAATACTAACAATATAACAATAACAACCAGAAATTGACCAGACCTACTTGGCTCAAGTGGTTAAGATGCTGAACTGCAGGCTGTGGAAGGTCAGTAGTTCAGCAGTTCGAGACCCGAGTTGTCGCATGATGGAGTGAGCTCCCATCTCTAGTTCCAGCTCCTGCCAACCTAGCAGTTTGAAAGCAAGAAATTGCAAGTAGATAAATAGGTACCACTTCGGTGGGAAGGTAACAGCGTGCCGTGCGCCTTGGTGTTTAGTTATGCCGGCCACATGACCACGGAAACGTCTTCGGACAGCGCTGGCTCTTCAACTTTGAAACGGAGATGAGCACTGCAACCCTAGAGTCGGACTGGACTGGCTTTCGAGCAAGGGAACCTTTACCTTTACTTTACCCCATTTTAGTTACTTTTAAGCTAAAGGTGTAAATGTGGGGAAATTGGGAACAGAGGAGAAGTGGATCCATTGGGACAGAAGCGTCCAGTCTTCCAGATGTGAGGCCTAAACAGCAGAGAGGAGCAAAGTGCCAGCTACTGTTGTACCAAATCCCTCAATAAACTATGCAGACTTTGAAAGGTATATCTTTGCTCCCCATCTTGTCATTGTTGCAGGATCATTGCTGTGTTTGTTGGTGCAAGATCCATCTTTAGACACAAAACATGGCAATTGCTCCCTATGCTCTGTGCTTGCAAGGGCTGGGACTTATTTATGGTGTTCATAATATGCATAATTCTAAATTTGGCCTCAAATACCCACACAGGGCCAAGTACAAAAAGGGGAGATGTCTGTACAAACCTAAGCAACCAAAACACTGCTTCCAGGTTTGCAGAGAGGGGGAATAAACAAAAGAAAAAGAGGGGCTAACATTCCCTGCAGTGGAGAAGTGATTTATTTTACTTATTTTATTTAGCAAGACTTTTACTTTCCTTTTCTGCATCATAGGGCTACCAAAGACCAACAAATTAAAACATGCTAATTAAAATCTCATCTTAAAAGCCATTAAAATCAATGCACAAATGTATCATTAAAACAATTTCAACCAGAGGCATCACTGAAGGAACACCAAGCAAAAGTAACAGGCTGGCAGAAGATAGCAACAGAAGGGGACAGGTGAATCTTCCTGAGGAGAGAGTTTTGGTACTACTCATGGGTTGCTACCAGGGGTCATTTCGTAGAAAAAGAGCTAGGGGAACTCATTAGCATAACTTATTAGCATATGCCACACACCCTGACATCAGGGGCCCGGCAGTGGACCTGCAAGGCCGGCGGGAGTGCAAGGAAGCCCCGCCAAGGCCCTCCCTGGCCCCAGGCAGGCAGGGGTGGGGAGAGGCGGGGAGGAAGCAACTTACCCTCCCTCTTCTCCTGCCTCCTCCTGGCTGAATGAGGGCTGGAAGCGGGGCGGCCGGAAGCAGGGGGTGCGTTCCCCCGCGTTCCCCCCCCGAAATGACCTCTGGTTGCTACCCACCTAATCTCAGAAGGTGGGGGCACCTGCAACAGGGTCTCCAAAGATGAATGCGGTAAACAGGTAGATTCATAAGAGATTAGGAAGTCCTTCAGGGTTTAAAAGGTCAGCACTAACACTTTGAAATGTGCCTGGAAACAAATTGGAAGCCAGTGTAGATGTGCCAAGACTGGAGTCATATGGTCCCTACAACGCACTCCAATTAACATTGAATAGAAGTTTCCAAACCAACTGAAGTTTCCAAACACTTTTCAAGAGCGTCCCCATATAGAGCGCTTGGCAGGAATCTAATCTAAATGTAACCAGGGCATGTACCACAGTGGTCAGATCTTTCCTGCCTGGGAAAGACTGCAGCTTGCTAACCAGTCAAAGCAGTTTCATTTAGATGTTAAAAAGCTTAGGGAACAAGATGAGGACCCCACAGCCCAGAGATCAAGGGTCTGAGCAGCAGTCCCTCAGCACCACCTTCGGAAACCTACCCTCTAGGTAGGATTGGAATGACCAAAGAACAGTGTCTCCTAGTCCCAGCCCAGAAAGGCCATCAAGAATGATACCATGATCAATGGTAGCAAAAGCTACTGAGAGGTACAAAAGAAAGAACAGAGTCACACTCTGTCTGTTTTCCAGTGCATGTCATCTACCAGGGTGACCAAGGCTGTTTAAGTCGCATAACCAGGCCTGTGTACATATTACAACTTTAAAAATAATGCCAACTAAGATCAGTGTTATGGGGCTGCCCCATACAACCATGCATTTATTAAAAGTAAGCTGCGGTCAATGGTAAGGGGGGAAAGCAGGGGAAGGAATCACATGGTGGCAATGGAGGGGAAGATGAAAAATGACGAGTGGTTGGTAGGGATGGGCACGAACCTAAAAATTCTGGTTCAGGGTTTGGGGCAGCCCCTGGACCAAACCAAGCCAAAAATGCCCTGAACTATGGCTGGGAGAAAGGGGGGATTGCTTGGATTGCTGCCAGCCATTTAACCCATCTGTTTCACTTCCCCTGCTTCAAAGCAAGGAGGAGCAAAACTGATGGGTTTAATGGCTCGCAGCCATTTAAACCTAAAAGCTGATGGGCGCACCCACCCCACTGTTAGGTTTAAATGGCTGGCAGCCATTTCACCAGTCAGTATCACTCCCCCCCCCCACTTCCAACAGACCAGTGAAATGGCTCATAGCCATTTCAGGCTAACTACGGGGTGGGTGCACCTGTCAGCTGTTAGGCTGAAATGGATGCAGCCCCTGGCTTCACTAGTAAGAATGTTGTGCTAGTCTTTGTTTTCTGTAAGAGGTGAGCTGCTGCCAGATCTTCCTGCTTCACCTATTGTCCTTGTTGTATACATACTGTTTCTTCAAAGCATGTTCTAGTGATTCTTTGAAGACACTGCAGAATAAAGTTTTGGCAATGTATCCTCCTACCAATAATAACGTAAAGGTTACTATTTATCTTCCTTTTTTCTTTATCTTCTGATTCCATTCCTTTAGGCTGCTTTGCAATTTTTAGAGAACTATGGTAATGAAGATATTACAGTTGCACAGCTAGAAGGCAATTCAAATTCCTTGTGGACCATCAGTCCTCCCAGCAGAAGGAAAATGATAGCCGAGCTCAACGAAACAGATTCTCCATTTACTCTGGTTGTTTCATGGAGTGTTCAAAGGTATGGCTTCACCAGTAGCATATATGGGTTACCTTTGTTGGTCTAGTGACAGTGTTCTGCAGTGCTCATCTCTTTCATTCCCAAGCTTGCTTATTATCATGTGCAGGGCAAGGCCCAGATGCTCTTACGGATTTTAGTTATTTATGTAACTGGAAAGTTAAATGACCATGAAAATAAAGCATCCAGGTGGCTCCATGAGTGCTCCTAAGCCATTTGAAAAGTGAATCTTGCCATTCAAAGGGCACAGAATTGTAAGGTCCAGTTAGCTCCATCTTTCTGATTTTTTAGCTTTCCTAAGGCACAAGAGTCCATTGATGAGTAGAATTACTATAATAAACAATATCGTGGCATGGTTTTTTTTGTTTAGATAAGTGCCTAAATAAATATAGTTTAAAGAATTTCTTAACATTCAATTCAACAAGAATTTCTTAAGGTACATTACAAAATGAAATAAAAACAAGTTCAGCAAATAGGTATAATAGGTTGAAAAGAACCACAAACAAATGCTCTGGGGTGCTTCTAACTTTTTCACTGGTTTGGCTGATACAGTTTCTCTTCATTTCCAACAAGTGAAATGTCCATCACGACAGACAGCCACATTTAACTCCTCTTTCCCCCACCATCCTGCCGAGAGCCATCAAAGCCAAGAGACACCAGACTGCACTAGAAGCAATGGGTGCAGTACCACCACCTCTGCTGCAGCCTGATGGAGTAAGCCACTTTACTTTGATCACACCAGCCAAGAGTACTCTAGGAGGAAGCATCGAGCAGGGGCCTCCTTTCGTAGTACTGGAACAAGTGATAAGCAAGCCAGGTGTTCTTTCCCACTGTCACTCCTCCTCCTCAATGTTGGCCCACCAGGAACATTTCTCATGCATTTAAAAGATCAGTCAACCCCTTCTCATACTCTGGCAGTTTGAGGCAAATAACAATGGCAGGGAGTGAACACAGAGGCACATTAAACAGTATCATAGATTTTTCACAGTGGAAGTAGATATATAAGTTTCAGGTGGCATCATGAGACTCAGAGGCTTCACATGGTGAGTCCTCTAGGTGACTCTAGGTGACTGACTTTAATCAAGGAGCTTGCCATCTTGTGATCATAATTATGGCAACCATCCTTTGGTTGCATGATCCTATTAACCATTAGAAAAGGCTTCATAGAAGTAATTCCAAAATCATGGAGAATCCATCAAGGCAAAATGTATATGTATAAATGATAAATCATCAGGCCCGGATGGCATACATCTGAGAGTTCCGAAAGAACACAGATGTGAACTTGTGGATCTCCTTACAAAAATATGTAATCTGTCATTAAAATCTGCCTCCATTCCTGAGGACTGGAAGGTAGCTAATGTCACTCCCATCTTTAAAAAGGGTTCCAGAGGAGATCCAGGAAATTACAGGCCATTCAGTCTGACATTGATACCGGGTAATATGTTGTCGAAGGCTTTCACGGCCGGAGTTCATTAGTTGCTGTAGATTTTCCAGGTTGTCTGGCCATGGTCTTGGCATTGTAGGACCTGACGTTTCACCAGTAGGTCCTACAATGCCAAGACCACAGCCAGACAACCCTGAAAATCTACAGCAACTAAGATACCAGGTAAGTTGGTGGAAACTATTATTAAAGAAAGAATTAGTAGGCACATTGATGAATAAAAACTATTGAGGCAGACTCACTGTAAGGGAAGATCTCGTCTCACTAACCTGTTAGTGTTCTCTGAGGGAGTGAACAAACATGTGGACAAGGGGAACCCAATAGATGTTGTTTACCTTGACTTCCAGAAAGCTTTTGATAAAGTTCCTCATCAAAGGCTCCTAAGTAAGCTCAATAGTCATGGGATAAAAGGACAAGTCCTCTTGTGGATCAAAAAGTGGCTAATTAATAGGAAACAGAGTGAGTATAAATGGGAAATTTTCTCAGTGGAGGGTGGTAAGCAGTGGGGTACCACAGGGATCAGTACTGGGTCTGATGCTTTTTAACTTTGTTTGGTGTAGTGGTGTAGTGGCTTGGGGGTTTTTTTAACTTTGTTTGGTGTAGTGGTGTAGTGGCTTGGGGGTTTTTTTAACTTTGTTTGGTGTAGTGGTGTAGTGGCTTGGGGGTTTTTTTAACTTTGTTTGGTGTAGTGGTGTAGTGGCTTGGGGGTTTTTTTAACTTTGTTTGGTGTAGTGGTGTAGTGGCTTGGGGGTTTTTTTAACTTTGTTTGGTGTAGTGGTGTAGTGGTTAAGTGCACGGACTCTAATCTGGAAGAACCGGGTTTGATTCTCCACCCCTCCACTTCCACCTGGCTGGATGACCTTGGGCAAGCCGTAGTTCTGCTAAGAGCTGTTCTTGAAAAAGAGCAGTTTCTGTCAGAGCTCTCTCAGCCCCACCTACCTCACAGGGTGTCTGTTGTGGGGAGGGGAAGGGAAAGGGGTTTGTAAGCCACTCTGAGACAACTTTGGGTAGTGAAGGGCGGGGTATAAATCCAATGGTCGGGGAAGCGCTGGTAGCCCGTCGCAGCCAGCGCCGTTCCCCATCCCACGCATGCGCACAACTGTGCTACTGCCGGTTTGCTGCACAACATTTGATCAGCTGCCAGAGCATAGAGCCGTGGGGGCACGTCAGATTGCACTCCCGCGGTTCTTTTTGCTCCGGCTCTAATTTGCCTCCTTTTGGCAGTGGATCATCCCGCTCGTTTGACCGGGATCAAGGATGATCAGGGGCCTGGGGACCAAGCCCTACGAGAAAAGTAGGGTTGCCAAGTCTGGCCCACAAGCCGGCGGTGGACTTACAAGGAGGCTCGAAGAGAGGGGAGGGAAGAAGCGTGACGTTCCTATGCCCCCTCCAGGTGACGTACACGTCAGGGATGTCAGTGACGTGCCTACATCACCCGAAAGTGACATACACATATTGGTGACATCGTGGGGGCTACACTCTGTTTTGGGGGCAAAACTCTATGGTTTGAAGCTAATTCTACCATAGAGTTTTGTCCAGAGTGTCACCAGATGTTAGGCACTTTTATGTAGTGGCCCATCACTTGTGGCCCCTCATGGATCACTGCCTTGTCGTGGCGAGGGGGCTTGCGCAGTTCAATGAAGCTGTGGGCTATGCCGTGAAGGGCCACCCAAGACGGACAGGCCACAGCAGAGAACTCAGACCAAGCGTGATCCACCTGGAGAAGGAAATGGCAACCCACTCCAGTATTTTTGCCAAGAAAACCCCATGGACAGTATCAAAAGGCTAAAAGATATGACGCCGGAAGATGAGCCCCTCAGGTCGGAAGGTGTCCAATATGCTACTGAGGAAGAGCAGAGGACAAGTACAAGTAACCCCAGAAAGAGTGAAGCGGCTGGGCCAAAGCCGAAAGGACGCTCAGTTGTGGATGTGTCTGATGGTGAAAGGAAAGTCCGATGCTGCAAAGAACAATACTGCATAGGAACCTGGAATGTAAGATCTATGAATCAAGGTAAGCTTGACGTGGTCAAAAATGAGATGGCAAGACTGAACATCGATATCCTAGGAATCAGTGAACTAAAGTGGACAGGAATGGGCGAATTTAACTCAGAAGACCATTATATCTACTACTGTGGCCAGGAATCTCGTAGAAAAAATGGTGTGGCCTTTATAGTCAACAAGAGAGTGCAAAAGGCAGTACTGGGATACAATCTCAAAAATGACAGAATGATTTCTGTCCGATTCCAAGGCAAACCATTCAACATCACAGTAATCCAAGTCTATGCCCCAACCACTGATGCAGAAGAGGCTGAAGTGGACCGGTTCTATGAAGACCTACAACACCTCCTAGAACTAACACCAAAAAATGATGTCCTCATCATCATAGGGGACTGGAATGCTAAAGTAGGAAGTCAAAAGGTAACTGGAATAACAGACAAGTTTGGCCTTGGAAAGCAAAATGAAGCAGGGCAAAGGTTAACAGAGTTTTGTCAAGAGAACACACTGGTCATAGCGAACACCCTTTTCCAACAACCTAAGAGGCGACTCTACACATGGACATCACCAGATGGGCAACACCGAAATCAGATTGACTATATAATTTGCAGTCAAAGATGGAGAAGCTCTATCCAGTCAGTAAAAACAAGACCTGGAGCTGACTGTGGTTCAGATCATGAGCTACTCATTGCAAAATTCAGACTTAAACTGAAGAAAATTGGGAAAACCACGAGGCCATTCAGGTTTGACCTAGATCGCATCCCTGATGAATATACAGTAGAGGTGAAGAATAGATTCAAGGGTCTGGATTTGATAGATAGAGTGCCTGAAGAACTATGGACAGAGGTTCGTGACATCGTACAGGAGGCAGCAATCACCACCATCCCAAAGAAAAAGAAATGTAAGAAAGCAAAGTGGCTTTCTGATGAGGCTTTACAAATAGCAGAGGAAAGAAGGAAAGCGAAAGGCAAAGGCGAAAAGGAAAGATTTACCCAACTGAACGCAGATTTCCAGAGAACAGCAAGGAGAGATAAGGAGGCCTTCCTGAATGAACAGTGCAAAGTAATAGAAGAAAACAATAGAATGGGAAGGACTAGAGATCTCTTCAAGAAAATTGGAGAAATCAAGGGAGCGTTCCATGCAAAGCTGGCCATGATAAAGGACAAAAACGGTAGGGACCTAACAGAAGCAGAAGAGATTAGGAAAAGATGGCAAGAATACACAGAAGAACTATACAAGAAAGACCTCGATGTCCTTGACAACCACGACGGTATAATCACTGACCTCGAGCCAGACATCCTGGAATGTGAAGTTAAATGGGCCTTAGAAAGCATTGCTAACAACAAAGCTAGTGGAGGTGATGGTATTCCAGCTGAGCTATTCAAAGTCTTAGAAGATGATGCTGTTAAAGTTCTGCACTCCATTTGCCAGCAAATTTGGAAAACGCAACAGTGGCCACAGGATTGGAAAAGATCAGTATACATTCCAATCCCAAAGAAGGGCAATGCCAAGGAATGTTCAAACTATCGCACAATTGCACTCATATCACACGCTAGCAAGGTCATGCTCAAGATCCTACAAGCTAGGCTTCAACAGTACGTGGATAGAGAACTACCAGAAGTACAAGCTGGGTTTCGAAGAGGTAGAGGAACGAGAGATCATATTGCCAACATTCGCTGGATTATGGAGAAAGCAAGAGAGTACCAGAAAAATATCTACTTCTGCTTCATTGACTATGCTAAAGCTTTTGACTGTGTGGATCACAACAAACTATGGCAGGTCCTTAAAGAGATGGGAGTACCAGACCACCTCACATGTCTCTTGAGAAACCTGTATAAGGGCCAAGAAGCGACAGTTAGAACCGGATATGGAACAACTGATTGGTTCAGCATAGGAAAAGGAGTACGACAAGGATGTATATTGTCGCCTTGCTTATTTAATATATATGCAGAGTACATCATGCGAAATGCTGGCCTGGATGAATCACAAGCGGGAATTAAGATTGCTGGGGAAAAGATCAACAACCTCAGATATGCAGATGATACCACTCTAATGGCTGAAAGTGAAGAGGATCTAAAGAGCCTCTTGCTCAGAGTAAAAGAGGAGAGCGCAAAAGTGGGCTTGAAGCTCAACATCAAAAAAACTAAGATCATGGCATCCGGCCCCATCACTCCTTGGCAAATAGAAGGGGAAGTCGTGGAAGTGGTGACAGACTTCACGTTCCTGGGATCCCAGATCACCGCAGACTGTGACAGCAGCCATGAAATTAAAAGACGCCTGCTCCTTGGGAGGAAAGCGATGGCGAACCTCAACAGCATGATAAAAAGTAGAGACATCACCCTGCCAACAAAAGTCCGCATGGTCAAAGCAATGGTATTCCCAGTAGTCATGTATGGCTGCGAGAGTTGGACTATAAGGAAGGCCGAGCGCCGAAGAATAGATTCTTTTGAACTATGGTGCTGGAGAAGACTCTTGAGAGTTCCTTGGACTGCAAGGAGATCAAATCAGTCAATCCTCAAAGAAATCAACCCTGACTGTTCCCTGGAAGGCCAGATAATGAAACTGAAGCTCAAATACTTTGGCCACCAAATGAGAAGGGAGCACTCACTGGAGAAGACCCTGATGCTGGGAAAGATTGAAGGTCAAAGAAGACGGGGACGACACAGGATGAGATGGTTGGACAGTGTCATCGACGCAACGAACATGAAATTGAGCCAACTTCAGAGGACAGCGGAAGACAGGAGGGCCTGGCGGGAGCTGGTCCATGGGGTCGCGAAGAGTCGGACTCGACTGTGCGACTGAACAACAACATAGATAGGAACTCTCAGTCTGGGGCAGGTGGTGCTCTATATTCTTGGTGCTTGTGGGGGCAACAGTGGGAGGGCTCCTAGTGTCCTGGCCCCACTGCTGGACCTCCTGATGTCACCTGGTATTTTTGGCCACTGTGTGAAGGAGTGTTGGACTAGATGGGCCATTGGCCTGATCCAACATTCACTTCTCTTATGTTCTTATGTTCTTATTAAGTCTGAGATTCACTGGTGCTAAGGCCCAGGCTACTGGTGCTCTGCTGTCTTTTCTACACCACCCGCCACAATGTGATGCAGCTGAGTTCCCTTGCATGGAAGTGCAGAGCCACTGACAGCCACTTATCCAGGCATCTTAACTTTTGTAAATTTATTATTTATTTATTTTTGGGATTTCTATCCCGCCCTATCCAGTAGCTCAGGGCGGCTAACAACATTGTATAAATACTAAAACAATAAAACAGTTTTTCATACAATAAAATTGGTGCTAAAATCTATACAATCTATACAATCTTTTAGCGACAAATTGTGGAGTTCTCTGGAAAGGTGGTGGAGATATTTTCTAAACGAATAAATGAACACGGCTAAGAATTAATGAGGTTTATATTTAATGATGATGTAGGATCAGGTTTTCAATTATTAATGACTAGCAGTAAAGCCCGTTGTGGAAATAAATACAACGGGATCTAGAAAGAGGCGACATTCCAACTGCCTTGCGGGGAGGGGGGTGAGTTTGAGGTGTGGAATGCAGTGAAGTCCAATCAGCTTCCATATGCAAAAGACCTTGAAGGTTCCATATGCAACTGACATTCCAACTGCCTTGCGGGGAGGGGGGTGAGTTTGAGGTGTGGAATGCAGTGAAGTCCAATCAGCTTCCATATGCAAAAGACCTTGAAGGTTCCATATGCAACTGACATTCCAACTGCCTTGCGGGGAGGGGGGTGAGTTTGAGGTGTGGAATGCAGTGAAGTCCAATCAGCTTCCATATGCAAAAGACCTTGAAGGTTCCATATGCAACTGACATTCCAACTGCCTTGCGGGGAGGGGGGTGAGTTTGAGGTGTGGAATGCAGTGAAGTCCAATCAGCTTCCATATGCAAAAGACCTTGAAGGTTCCATATGCAACTGACATTCCAACTGCCTTGCGGGGAGGGGGGTGAGTTTGAGGTGTGGAATGCAGTGAAGTCCAATCAGCTTCCATATGCAAAAGACCTTGAAGGTTCCATATGCAACTGACATTCCAACTGCCTTGCGGGGAGGGGGGTGAGTTTGAGGTGTGGAATGCAGTGAAGTCCAATCAGCTTCCATATGCAAAAGACCTTGAAGGTTCCATATGCAACTGACATTCCAACTGCCTTGCGGGGAGGGGGGTGAGTTTGAGGTGTGGAATGCAGTGAAGTCCAATCAGCTTCCATATGCAAAAGACCTTGAAGGTTCCATATGCAACTGACATTCCAACTGCCTTGCGGGGAGGGGGGTGAGTTTGAGGTGTGGAATGCAGTGAAGTCCAATCAGCTTCCATATGCAAAAGACCTTGAAGGTTCCATATGCAACTGACATTCCAACTGCCTTGCGGGGAGGGGGGTGAGTTTGAGGTGTGGAATGCAGTGAAGTCCAATCAGCTTCCATATGCAAAAGACCTTGAAGGTTCCATATGCAACTGACATTCCAACTGCCTTGCGGGGAGGGGGGTGAGTTTGAGGTGTGGAATGCAGTGAAGTCCAATCAGCTTCCATATGCAAAAGACCTTGAAGGTTCCATATGCAACTGACATTCCAACTGCCTTGCGGGGAGGGGTGGGAGTATGAGGTGTGGAATGGAGTGAAGTCCAATCAGCTTCCATATGCAAAAGACCTTGAAGGTTCCATATGCAACTGACATTCCAACTGCCTTGCGGGGAGGGGGGTGAGTTTGAGGTGCGGAATGCAGTGAAGTCCAATCAGCTCCCATATGCAAAAGACCTTGAAACGCTGGGCGGGACTGCACAAAGCAGCCAGTCAACCCAGCCAGCATCTTCTGACTGACAGTTCAAGCGTCCATACACCAAAGGAGTGCATTTTAGAACTTTGGCACCCACTATTCAATTATATATAAGGAGAGATAATGCTGAATCGACCATCCAATGTGAATAGTAATGAATATAATAAAATCAGAAGAATTGTGCTTTGTCTGAATTTTGTGATTACATACTGTGAAATCTTTCCATTCCTTTTTATTAAAGAAACCTCTCCCTTGGAGCAAAATCAGAAATAGCATCGTCTAAACGGTCGTTTCTCCTTCCAAATGAAACAAGAATTGAACTTGCTAACATGATGGAGGGAATAAATGGTGTGCGAAAAGTGTAAGTTTCTTACAATGTTAACTTATTTTTTTCTTTTAACCAAAGCTAAAAATTACTGGCCAGTGCTTGTACAAACCAATATCATTTGTGATATTTTATCTATTTTAGTAGGGTTAGCTGTGTTAAGAAAGAGTTCATTTTAAAAACACCATTAAAAGTATTCCGTATGGTTGCAGCATTTAACAAAGGAGGTCTCAGTTCCCCTAATCTTTCCCATTTGTGTTCTGTTCCCTGTTATTCCTGAGGTTGTGCTTTATTCAGTTTTCGTTGTCAGTGTAAAAGCAGTGTCCAAGTAGTGTTCATTTTTGGCAGACATTAAAGGACTTTTTGAAGGACTAAGGTACACTTTCCCCACCATCATGGTATTATGAGGCAATGGGCTTCCCCCTTCTCATTGTCTCCTTGGTGTCTGCACTTGGGGTGGAGGGCACAACACACCAGTGAAAGATCTATGGAATTCCAATAGATTGGACTGAGGTGTGTGTGTGTGTGTAGTCATTCAGGGAGGAGAGAAGACCAGCAAATATATAAAATCAATAGAAGTGAATTCCTCACTTATCCCTGAATTTAATAGCTTGCTGAATTGAGTTCTGCTGTTGACATTATGAAGTTTGGCATTTTAGTTAGCTTTGGGGAAAGGGGTAATGCCTGTGGATGTACTTAATGTCACTACCACGAATCAGCTGATTAGTGCTTTCAAATACAATTACACTAATTATATGTTTGGCAGCTTCATACTCCAGATGCTAGGAATGTGCCTTTGGCTATTAGAGAAATATAAATAGCTAAATAAAAGGCTATTTTCATTAATGTCTTCATTGTCATGGATGTGGGTTTTCCAGAAAATTTTCAGTAGAAAACTTTCAAGTAAATTTTCCAGTGCCCAGAATAGATTGTGCTCTGTATTTGCTGCTTGTTTTTAGTAAACAAATCTCAAAAAGTAGTCATAGGCCCCGGTCACACGGAGCATTAGCCACGCTAGAGGGACAGAAGATAGGCGGCGTTTCCGGGCGCGATCTCACCGGCACATCTGGGAAGCATCTGGCTTTTGTGGCGCAACCGAGGCTTCCCGCCGAAGACACGCAGTAAAAAACTAGTACCTCGGAGGTACTAGTTTCCTGAAACCGCGGGGGAAGGGCGGGCATCTGATCGCGTTTCCGGAGGTAATTCCGGCGCCCGCCCATGTCCCCTCGGAAAAAGGGGTTTTTTTTCAAAGTCTCCACGGATGCGCACACGCACCCAAGGGAGCATGCGCACAATTGCGTTTTTTTTAAAAAACAACCAACCCGTTTGCCCTGCGCCCCGCTTCTTTGCCGCGCCGCAGGACTGTGATCGGCACCTCCCCCCTACCACGGGACCTCCGCGGGACCTCGATAGGTAGGTCTGCTTGAGCAACCACACGGTTTTTAGCCCCGGGGCTAACAGCCACGTTTCCCCCCTGCAGTTTCCTGTCCGTGTGACCGGGACCATAATACAAATGTATGAACTGAAATATTAATTATAGGAATAAAGAAATAGATTACATTTAATATGTTTAAAATGTTGTATTCAGACTTCTATGTGAAAAATATTTTCATTTGAATAATGTAAACATTTAAAGGCAACACAGAATAACATGCACTTCCTTTCATATCCAAATTTTAAGAAAAGATTAGGATCCTGAAGACTGTTGTAGCATGGCCAAATAGCTGTGCACAATATGCCACTGTTGTCCTCGCCTCCACTTGAACAGATTTTCAATCTTATTGAGTGCATGGGTAGGCTGGCCAGATCCAATTATTGCACTGGCAGGGAGGGAGAGGCACTTTCTGGGAATGGGGGTGGAGGCTGTGATGTACTGATGTACATCACATCAGCAACACACTGGTTTTGGGTAAAACTCTATGGTAAAAGCACCATCAAACCCTAGGGTTTTGCCCAAAAACTAGAACATCGCTTACATGCTGACATCACTTCCATGTGACGTCAGCATGTCACATTTGGGGGCAGTATTCCCCTCCCTCAGCTAACTGGCCAGCGGCAGATGGGAGCCCAAAAGAACTGGGGAATCCCCCACCCCCAACTGGAGAATGGCATCCCTATGCATTAAGGTTCTTCCAGTTTCACTATCACTGGCCTGTATTTAATGATACAATCCAAAGAATGAAGGGTATCTAAGAGAGCTGATTTCTGCCAATTCCCTCCCTACTGTGCCCTTCATGCTGTTGCTGAAGGTCCCTAGTCCCCAGGAACAAGACTTCAGGGGCTCAGAGGGCTGCATTGGAACCAAGGTGTCAGAGGAAATCACCCCTCCTAAAAGAACATAAGTGACCTTAAATTTATTAATTGATTGATTGATTGATTGATTGATTTAAAGCATTTTATGCCACCTTTCCTACCATCAGGGTCCACAAGGTGGTGAACATAAAAAAAACATTTGAACCATTAAATCAGTTAAAACACTAGAAGGAGGGCCAATAACCGTTATTGGGGGTATGCCAGCTGAAACAAAAAAAGTCTTTACCTGCTGGAAAAACGACACTGATAGAGGGTGACAGATTAATCTCCCTGGGGAGGGAATTTTAGTGCCACAATGGAGAAGGCTCTTGTTGCTGCCCTCCTAGGTTCAGATGGTATTCTTTGGAATGCTCTGGCTGAATACAAGCCAGTATCTGTAAGAAGCTGCTTTCTGGAGTGGGAAAGGCCTTGGGGAGGAGGTATTGCCCATTCTTGTATATGTGTACTTTACTGTTTTGTATCGCCATCGATATTAATGCTTTTAATTGATGTATCTGTAATTTTATAAGATGTATATTGTTTTATTAGTTTTATGGGAGCCGCCCTGAGCCCGCCTCGGCAGGGAGGGCAGGGTAGAAGTCAAATCAATCAATCAATCAATAAACAGAATACTACAGTGCAGAGAGGCTCCTGTGTTTCTCCCCTGTGCCATAGGGGTCCTAAACAATTGTTCTACTAGTCAGTCTGAGGGCAAGGGCAACTTATCATACTACATCATCTTCACTTCCTGAAGCTATCAACAGTCCTGAGGTATCAGGAGAACAGCAGATTTATAGCTATCATAAGTAAATAGATTCATCTTTGTTGCCATACACCACTTTTCCCCCCCTATATGTTGTCAAAGGCTTTCACGGCTGGAGTTCAAGTTGTTGTAGATTTTCCGGGTTGTGTGGCCATGGTCTTGGCATTGTAGAACCTGACGTTTCACCAGCAGCTGTGACTGGCATCCTCAGAGGTATAACACAGAAAGATGGAGCACTCTCTGTATCAAGGTACTCCATCTTTCTGTGTTACACCTCTGAGAATGCCAGTCACAGTTACTGGCGAAACGTCAGGTTCTACAATGCCAAGACCATGGCCACACAACCCGGAAAATCTACAGCAACTACTTTTTTTTTTTAAATTTAGTCAGTATGACTACCTCAAAGTAACCAAAAATAACTAAAAAGGCAAGGGATGTTATTTATTTATTTCATTTATATGCTGCCTTTCTTCCAAATGGGGACCCAAAGCAGCTTTCATTGTCTTCCTCTTTTCCATTCTTTGGTGGTAAGGTGGTACCATTTGTTCTCTTGGGATAACACCTCTCTAGTTCCAGGCTGCACCACAGCTCTTTGGTGACCCCAAAGGAAGGCTTCCCTGAGGATCCCAATTCAGCCCTGTCTGGCTAGCAGACAGATGGTTGCTGACTTCTTACATACTGGAACAAGACAGCTCCTTACTCCACAACTTCCTTTTTTCTTCTGTTCCCCCATCTAACTAGAGGGGAGTTGGAGACTCAAGCTGAAGTCTTAAAGCCAGGGGGATTGCCAACTTTGCGAGGGTTCTCTTCCGCCTGGGGAAAAGGAACAGAATCATGAGTGCTTGTCCTTGTTCTGGAACTAAAGGGAGTGGAGTTCCTTGTTTCAAGGGTTGGATGCTTTGGCCTTCTACAGTTCAAAGGGGCTTAAGAAGCACAGACAACATGAGCATAAGTAGAAGCCATTCCAGATCTAGATCTAAGTTCTTGGAAATTGGGCAGGAATCCCCAAAGGGGCAAGAAACCTGTCTCCTTTGTTTTCTCCTGCTCCCAAGAGAAAAAGAGGAGAATTCAGAAGTGACTGAGCTGCTGAGATGCATGGGATGTCACCTGGCATTGATGAAGACCATCTATGTGATAGGAGAGCCTGTAACTAGAGAGGTGTTATCCCAAGAGTAGTTCAGTCTAAAGGTGTGGCATTCAATAGGGGCAATCCTCTCCCCAATGCTTTTTAACATATATGTGCACCCTCTTGCCCAGGTAGTCAGGAGGTTCGAGCTAGGGCATCATCAATATGCTGATGACTTCCAGCTATATCTGTTAATGGATGGCCAGAAGACACTGCCCCAGAAGATCTGGTCAGTTGTTAGGAGGCCACAGTGAGATGGCTAAAACCAGAGGTCATTTCAGGGGGATCGCGGGGGAGGTACGGGGGGCGGGGCACATGATGAAGCCCCGCCCCCTGCTTCCGGCCCCCATTTAGCCAGGAGGAGGCAGTAGAAGAGGGAGGGTAAGTTGCTTCCTCCCTGCCTCTACCCACCCCTGCTTGCCTGGGGCCAGGGAGGGCCTTCACGGGGCTTCCTTGCACTCCCGCCGGCCTTGCAGGTCCACCGCCGGGCCCCTCATGGGGCTCAGCAGTGGAGCTGCAAGGCCGGCGGCGGCGGCCGGGACCGTTGGGGGCGGGGTGTGTGGCCTTATGACACACTTCCGGTGATGTCAGGGGGTGCGGCCTTATGACACACGTCCGGTGATGTCAGGGGGTGTGGCATATGCTAATGAGTTCCCCTAGCTCTTTTTCTACAAAACAACCCCTGGCTAAAACGGAGCTGCCTGAAGCTGAACCCATTGAACCCTGTGGCTGGGTCAGTGGGGCAGGGGTGGGATTTCAGTTCCCTGCTCTAGATGGTGCCAGCTTCCTCCGTCAGGAGTTTGGGTGTGACTCTTGATGCCTCTTACTTTGGAGGCACAGGTCACAAATACAGCC